TGAAAATGTAGTTGTAGATTGATATTTTTTTTAATAATGCTTTTCTAGAATCTTGTTGACTTAACCTGGAAAGGGAATGGGTGTATAGTATACACCCATTCCCTGACATAAGACTCTTATGTCATTAAAGGTAACATATGTGAAAATTCATTACTTATTATTAGGAATTTTTTTCCAAGGATCTCTTGTGTAACAATTGATTTTCAAAAAACAGATCTCTCGTAGTATATAAGCTGAAAGATGAATTCTGCTGGAAAAATTGAATTTTCTTGTGTGGATGGATAGTTGGATGTCCATATATTTTATATCTCACTTGAAGATACTCATATGCTGAACATAAAGATGTTCAGCATATGAGAAATTGTTTCTTCCTCTCTAACATAGATGCACCTTTGCAACTCTATGAGCAACATCTCGAGGAGATCTAACTTTTTTACCACATTATTTGGAATATATAGACGCATGACTTTATCTCAGAATTAAATCAAGTCATATGTCTCTATATACCAAATTCTGATCAAGTAAATGAATTGAAGCAAAAGTATCTTAGTAATTTTGTAGACAAATGTTTATTTTTATTTTTATTAAAAACAGTTTCATGTTAGATGTCTTTAGTATAAACTGGTGGCGTATAACTAGGAGTATCGTGTGAATACCGATCTCCTTGCTTGTTGGTTTATGATGATGATGGTCTAGAATACATCAAGGCTTTTATATTAACTACGATATCGAATATGTATGTATATATATATATATATATATATATATCATTAGTCAAATTATCGCTCATTCAAAATGCTATTCACCGTACCTTCGGTGCATCCTTTCCACGTGTATATACGATATAAATTTCGTGTAGGGATCAAAATAAAATACACTTTGATTACGGGAATGTTTAGAGGTGGTACACACCTAACAAAAAGACAGAATCATTAAAACTTCTCAAGTCAACATCTCCTCAGACATTTTGCTGGGAGATCAAATAAAATAAAATTGCAAGAGGTTTTTATACATCAATAAGAACAAGTTATTCCTGGTTCTGACTGGGACCGTGAATATCATTGGCACGGGACTGGTTTGGATGATAAGTGCGAGGGAAACTCTTTCCGCCAACTATATTGAATGTGCTCCTTCGCCTGCTCGGAAAGGAGACCTTTAAAGGCCTCGTTGCTGTAGGACAAGAAAACGTGTGTCGTTCTGGGTTTGACCTCCGCGAGTGCTTTCTGGTAAATTAGCGCGTCCCAGGAGAACAGCATTCCGCAAGTCAAATGTGTCCTTCCAGTTTGGGTGAGCATGTATGGTGTCAACGGGAGACTTCGCCACCACATCCACTTTTGCAGCAGTTCCTGATTTGCTCGTCACCTACTTATGCAGAATCTGCTCTTTCCGTTGTCATCGTTTTTCTTCCTCCTTGCATGCGCTCATTCCTTCGGCACTACAAGATGGGCATTCGGCAAGTTGTTCTCGATATGAAAGCTCGTGTATTAGCGGCTGGATGTCAGTCATCGTCGCATTACATTCATCATTACCGCATCTACCAGATCCTCCCCGTGCCTCTGGTTGCTCATTTTACTTCGTGCTCATATGCAGTTCTAGTTTCTTGGATCCTAATATGCTTTGATATAGAACAACATACGACGAGCTCGGAACTCCCTTGAAAGTCCGTCTTTTGGACGCTTTCCGTGTCTAAGGCATGCGGATATTTTTGTACATATTTAATTGGGTTGCTTGCTGCGGCATGCGTATTAGTCCTCTTACAAGTACTCTCAAATCCCAGCATTGCCCAAACGAGGGGTCAACTGGCCCTGAGTAAAATCATTCACGAGAGTACTGTACTCACCTTCCACTACTGGTAGATATCGTGATCTTACATGTTTTCTTAGTAGCAGCGAAATCTCATCAGCAATTAAAATCCTTGAGTGCATGACTGATCCTGTTGAAAACGAGCTTTAGAGATTTTCCTGATATTTTAAATATGGAAGAATGGTACCTGAGTTGAATCAATTTGCCTTGCCAACATCATCCTTACACTTGGACAGGTTTATGGGAGATGTCCCTCTACCTCTTTCGTTGTTCATTTGTTTCCATTTCAACGATGGTGAAGAATTAAGAATCACTCTACAGTTCTTATTTGTAATGATTCGTAGGTGGCATAGATCTTGGCTTGATCCTTAGGGACGACCCGCGTTCGACTTTCCGTCAAGGCTTAGTTGTATATATATGTATATTGTCGAGTCAAGGATGAAAACGGGATGCATATTTGTTGCTTTAGAAGCTTGAACTCTTAAAAGTTTGGATCTCTACATTCCTTCAAACCTGATTTTCGAATTAGAACCCACAATCGGATCAAGTTCAATACATTCTCAGCTTGTATAATATATACTTCTCCGATATATGATTGTATAATTCTGGCCTGTTTACAAATTACGACACGTCGCATCTAGATTGGAGTACAATCAAACAACCAACAATACTCGGGAATTCGCGAATAGGTGTGTGCCACCTGGGACTACATCTTTGTCAGCAAGAGACTTCTATTATCACAATCGGTGCTTACTCGTCTATAATACACGTTTGTTCAGGTAAGTTATGTGTTGCAGGTGTTCAACTTATCAGGGACTACGAACCGAGTTAAGTCTGCATGTATTCACATAAATTTAACTTGCAATTGAAAATACATGGACTAATTCAAGCTTGTCGCAGGTAAACTTTGATTATAGGCACCAAACTTAATTGCTCATATTTCGTTAGGAACATTTAAGTGGTCAATGGCTCTAAGTGGAAGGAATTGGACCCGGATTCCTTGTATCTGTGAGAATTTTGAGTGGTTTCTTTTGCACACATAGTTGCAAAATTCGTTTTTTACTTTAAGATTCAGTCTCCCGTCAAAATAAGACACATATATCTATAGCAGAAAAGTAACCCAGAGATACTTGCCTTTGAGATCTGCCAAACTACTATATTACTTCCTCAGAATTTGCCGATTCTCGTTCTCAAGCAAATAATTTACTTTGAGACTTTTTACTCAATACACCCTGACTACTCTTCCTGACAACTTTAGAACTTGCTGACCGTAAGAGGCTGAACATGTACAAAGAGACTACCACCTCCTTCACTTGAGAGAGCACAAAATTCTTTACAACTGGAACCAGACGGCAAAGAATTTTCGACTCTTGCAGTAGACGGTTATTTTCGTGGAAGACAATTGACTTCCCATGCATGCGTGTCGTAATCAGCAGCGTCGTTAGTGTCCTCAGGAGATAACGACGCTCCTCAGGAGATACGCTCCTCAGGAGATACGACAAGTAAAGGAAAAGTAAACTGCTCCATCAGAAGAGCGCTCAATTGCCTCCTGCTTAAGCAAAATACATACCGCAGATGGGATATGGGTCCGGGCATCCGCTTCCTACAATAAGTAACTATAACCAGTGGTCCAATGACTTCACTCGCCATAACGTAAATTTTCTCCACGCGAGTGAATCCAACCCCATCAAAATGCACAACTATGACAAGCCATAGAAGACGTACAGTGCCAGAAACGCCCACATATCGCAGCCGAACAAGCATGACGGGTGTGTTTATACCTGTACATCCACATCTCTGTGGTTGAAGCCATCGCTTCATGTAGTCAATGAGAAACGAAACAAAGGGTCCCAGGTTCACACCCAAACCTGGCGGGCAAACATCTTGTGCCAGCACTGAGAAGTAACGGGCCAAATTGAATCCCCAGAAGAAGCCATGCCAACACGAACCTGTATGCTATATACTGACAGGATCGGTGGTGCCTGAGTATCTCAAACCATGTCCAGGGTGTGGGGCCTCTCTTGAACCCGATTTGCAGGTTCTGACTCAATGTTAGTGTAGTACAAAGCTTGCGGATCTTACGAAGTTGATTGAACCATACAACCATACCCTGTATCGTAGCGAGAAACAACAGGACCAAACTGCTAGAAAGCCTGACGTGTGTGAGATTCAACAAAATTCGTTTGACCTTCCGTTGCTTCTTGAAATTTATAAGAATTCGGCTATGACCACTGAGACATGATCTACGTCTACATTCCTCCACGTACTTAAAGAATAACAACGTCGCAGTGAACTGCTTCTTAGAGAGTTTTAGACGCACCGTAGCTTGTAGCAGATAAACAGCGCCACCACTATCATCAATGACATTCTAGAGTTTAGTCCCAAAAGATCGATTGCGAAAACTATTGATATGGTGTAGAAGGAACCATGGTGTGATGTCATAAATAGCAATTTACTTCTTCAAAAGTTCCACCACTTGTCTCCGTGATTCTATACGAACTAGTTTCCTTAGGATGAGCATGCACAAGATAGGAGTTGCACATACGAACTACTTTATCAAAATGTCAAATTTAAATCAACACAATGCAGACAATTTAAATCTTCATTTCCTGACACACCTATCAACTGCTGCTGCGAGAATGATCCTTGTCATACACTTCAACCATTGCTTCAACACAGGCGGCTTTAAGGGGAGGGCTCAATCAGTATGTCACATCTACCTCGTCGTTCATGAATCTGGTTTCAATCAAGTAACTCCAGCCTCCACCAAATACAGCAGGCACGACCATCTCCACAATGAAATAAACGTCCCAGATTGTCTGCTCTTTAGATAAGAAATATCTTAACGCTTCATATTGATACCTTGCACTTCCCAGTGCAATAGATTTGGTAAGATTGTTTAAATACCTTTCATACAGTAGAAATCCACCCATCCAGACAAATACGCATTCATTAAAGCCAACTGATATACCGGATCATGCATTACAAAATAACTTTTTGAATGGCCCGATAACCAACGGGACACTAGAACAGCTGCAAAAACCCACGTGTCACAGTACACGATCTGCCAACAATATAAAACACTCCTACCCAGCACCTTCTACTTATGGACTGGCGAAACAAACTCCAGGTCGGAAACACTGTCATACAATCTCGAAAGCAGACACAAAGTATACCCAAATATACGAGAAATATACGATCAGTAGACATTAATGAACTGCTATTGCATATAGATATATTCAAAGTTTCTACACACTAACAATTTTCCTAAAATATTTTTCATCATTATCTTGGATCCAGTAGCACCTAGTACCCTATTCTTCCTGCCCTTCGGATGTTGCAAACTTCAAAGTTGTTGCTTGCTATACCCATCGGAGAAGAGAACGAAGTTGCGGATCAGGAGTGTACGTTGCTGTTAGAAGACATACTACAAGGGCATAATGTCTGAAAGGTCCAAGCTGGTGCAATTCAGGCAAATTCCACTCAGCTATTTCCACATCGTATTACACACTTTTAGTCCTGCCCACACTCCTCACGTATCTTTAACATGGCTGGTACACAATCGATGCTTCTGAGAACATGGGCAGTGTCGCGAGATGCCCTACAATTCGCAAACAACAATTGAGGGAAAAAAGCAATACGACAACTAATTAAAATTACATTCTCAAAAAATGCCTTTTACACTCGATCCCGTAGCTAATACATTAGCAAGTTACATGGAGTGTACAAATCTAAGGCAAAAATATGTAATGATTTAGTTTCAAAACATCTATCGCTGTCATATTCAATTTAGTCTTGTAACTCTTTCGCTCTGGTAAGCTAAAAGCAGTTCCACTTATTCAAGAAACATCGGACAAAACATGAAATGAGTTAATACACATACCCTTGAACTAACAGCTAGTAGTTTATAACAAAGCAGTCGTGTGCCTCTTTGTTGAAAGCTCAGAACGCTAAACGGGGCTTTCCAACAGATAAAGTTGAAAGGCAGTTACTAAAACCGTCCTTAGATGCAGAATACTTCTATATTTTCCAGGCCTCTTCCAAATCCCAAACCAACGGAATACTTTCCACCAGTTTATAACAGGTTAAAAAGAACGATAGGAGCGGTAAGAGTACTTCTACGCTAAGATCGTGGAAGTGAAAAACATTGGAAGGTGCGGCACAATATCTGAGACGTTGACCAAGCTATTTTAGCTTGATCAACGTCTGTAATCTGTGACCTTATGACCCCGTAAAATCTACATTACGCTGTTGATCAGCGTAATGATTTTACGGGTTCATAACGTGCAGAAAGGTAACCAGGCTCTTATTGAAGAACTCCATCAACTTTTTGCAGAAAAATCTGTATTTTTTGAGACTTTAGTATTCAACCCTCCATGAAAATTTTAGGCAGCTATGTTTCTGATAAAAGCCTCTAAACAACAAAGAATAACAAAGAGTGTCCCTTCAGTCGTTATTTTCTATGTACTGGGTAACTACACTGCTAATATAAGTGACTAGATACAAAATTAGTGTCCACATCCCAGTTGGTATATACATACGGCTTAGCAAGCAAATATTTAAAACTACGCCTTCACATGTCCTCTTCAGATCTGACAGCAAGGTAAGAATTTGGGCTCTGGGCCTAACACGCTCTTTCTTGTTAAAATTGCGCAAGGTGTGGTAGGCTTGCCCATGACGGCTCAAACGCAATTTTGAGAGCAACACAAACAAGTACCCTCAGCTGAAGGTGAGAAACTCGCAGAAGGTCAGAAAATCACCTACCTTGCTGGCCAGTCGATTGACGTCTCCCGGTTACTAACTTGCATAAATCCGTTGAGACGAAATCTGCAGTAATTGCTTATCAGAGTAGCAAACATCAATATGCTCTCTCAAGGCTTTTCTGAACAAGAAGTCGGACCAAAAAATAATTGTCTCGCTTTGAGAATCTAATACGCATATTGCAAACGGTCTCACCCAGAGATGGTAATACAATCAACACCCAAGGGCATTGACATACTCCTGACTTGTACAATTCAGAACTAGACAGGCATACGTCTGGCGTCTAGCATACGGCAGACGACAAGTCAGCAGACATCCATAAATTCAATCAAGCCGACTATATTAGCAAAGGACACGACTCAATAAACAACATAAAGACAAACCACCCGGCAGCCTGTGCAAGGCAACGATTCGACCACATATGAACGCCAAAAGTTTACATCCTAGTGCACGAAAATTATGCATTTGCTCAGAGAGAACTAACACAAAAGTTTGATCAAAGCAATAAAACAATTAAACACAACGATAGATTTGCCACGGAACTGCGAAATGACATACACAGCGCTGTCAGACAAATTGCTAAACTACGTCTAATCCACCACAAAAATGAACAGCTACACGACGGCCACGCCCAGCCTAGCCAACAGAACTCCACAACATAATCCAGTCAATGTACAGGGCGAAGGCACACCTGAATTGGCAGCACAGAGGAAGGAGGAAAACTCCTCCGACATATTGCGTCGGTAAACTTCCCTCGAGGTCACTGCTTCCATCGGTCCGTCCTTCACGACGCCGACCCGGGGTTGGCAAAGAAGAACACCAGGAACGCAATGACGAACAGAAGGAACACCATCGCGTTTACGACTAAAACACTGCCCTGCACTTTAAGTTTCTAAGACAACATAACGACGACGACCGTCATTGTACCTTAAAATTGACTTTCCTTAGCTATCGAGTTCTGCCGCTACACCATCTACAATTTGCAAACCCTTTTGAGAACCTCTGTATCCAAAACTCTGTCGTTCGCTCTGAGTTCCTCGTCCTCACGAACCGAGTCAGATAGAGTTCAGCAATTGCAGCATCTAGCTAGGGCAGAACTGTCAGCAACAACGATCTCAAAGGCTCCATCTCGTCACCTATGGCAATCGTCTAGACCGAAAAAAAGCAAAAATTGTCAGTTTCCGAGCTATATTCAATTTGCATCACAGATGGCCTCTCCAGTTCGCTCCGAGGATCTATTCTGCTCGCTTCATTGCTTCTTGCCACGCCGCCTTTGAGTGCCAACTCTGCCACAGTTCAGGTATGGAGTAGATTGCTTGAGAGCCAAGCAACGAAAATCTCTGCCCTTCCTTGACGCCGAGTTGCGCTTTCCTTTTCCGACGCGTCGGAGTCGAACAGTGTGAGTCGCATGACTGCGGTCGCCGGAGTCCCGACGACGTACGCCTTCCCCGTTTCCGCTGTGCCGCTGTTTCGGATGTCCCATCAATCTGGGCCTACCGCGGTCCGTGAACGGGTTTGACTCCACGGTCGGCAAGTCTTTTCTGTGGTTGTTTCCTTCTTTCATCAGAATGTCAATATATCACCCACTTCACTACTTCTTATACTTTTCTTCGTAGTCATTGATCCATAACGCTTTGACTCCTGACTAATTGTGAAAGTTTGTCAAGTTCTGCTGATATTTTGGAACGACCACAGAATTTAGTACGAACCACAGAATTTTCCATTGTTATAGGAAACCTTGACAAATCTAGAGAATCTTATAGTGGTGAATGAATCTCCGAATTCCATACCCAACTACATTTTAGCAATGAAGAAAATCCTAATTTTTTCCCTTTGAAAAAATATAAAGGCTCAAATAGATATATCTACTATATACATCGGGGAAAAAATATTTTTTTTAATTAGTTGTTTTGAAACTATGATATTTTTCTCTTTAATTTTTAAATCTTTTGAAGCATATATTTCTTATTAATGTTTCTACATTGAAAATTGTATTGACATTCAAGCATATCACTAACTAAATATATCAAACTAAACTTTGTTTAAATTCTTGCAAAAACCTGATTTTGGATGTTTAATTTATGCATCCTGTTTTGATTGATTTTTTTTTTTACTTTTCAAGTATCATATTCTACATATTTACAAGATTAGTTTTGTCTTCAAGTAATGATAATATTGTGTATAAATTGTATAATTTTTTGTTTATTGTTAAATATATTATCATAATGATTACAATGTTTTTTGATTTTGAAAAAAAATTCAAATTTTAAAAGACAACATTAATAAATACTTACAAGGATAAAAATTATTAAGCGGGTGAACAAAAATCTAAATAGGTTAACATATTCATAACTTGTAGTTGTATGTTTAGATAAAAGCTCACTAAAGAATATTTTTACTTACATTTTTTTCTAAATATCATTAGGTTTTATTTGCACACATGAATTTAGATAAATGTTAATTTTTTTTTTCAACATGATTTTGATATCAAAGTATCAATATGTCTTGAAATGCTCTAAAATAGCATATGATAATTGTATTAAACACAAATTTATCTTAAATCATTTAAATTACTTTTTTTCTAAGATTCTCGAGCGAAATGTATTCAGATGTATGTTGACAATTTGTTAATTAAAGACAAAACGCATTTTCTCTTTATATTTGATAAGATTTTTAAAGGTATGTTTTGTTGAAATTGATTATTTTCTCCATGATTGTGACAAGTATTAATGTAACTATCTTTGGTTAGTTAGAACTAAAGTAGAAGATATTAAAAATTGAAAAGAGTAGATTATACAATATGTATAATAGTTTTATTATGGAGCAATACGTAATCAATTTGTGTGCTCCCTGGTATATTTGCCATGTTATCAATTCATTATGAATAGATTCGATTCGTGGGACAAATACTTTAATTTCATGTATATTTTTGAAATATATATAGATATAAAGAAAAAATAATATTCAAAGTATCTACTCTTCAAAGTTTATATTTCATCTTTGTGTGAATATCAATCTTAATCATAATGCTACAATGTTATCAAAACAATTAGATCAATTTGTTCTTTCATTGAGTGTAGATTTATTCTTCATATATGAATAAGTGAATGATGATAAAGTGCAATGATTTAAAATGTATAGAAGATGACAATAGTCATTGTCTTGATGTATAAAAAAAATGAAAGTAAAATATTGTGGTTTGGCAGATATAGAGATGTTTGACAATAGTCCACTACAACGCTGGTAGATTCTCAATCCATTTGATGGAAATGGAAAAAGGTTTCAAAAAAAAACATTTATTTTGTATATATCTTGTGTTATATTGGGATGTCAATTTTATGATTAGAGTGAAAGAGTTGAAAGTACTATTGATATTTCCAATAATTATTTATGAAGATACTTGGATTTATACTATATATATTATATACTGAATGTTTATAGATTTGATTCATGAATCATCCGCCCTGATTTGGTTGGATATCTATGTAGAGATTAGATTAATATATTAATAATGTGAAAAAAAATAATCTGTGAAAAATTATGAAGAAGAGATTTCTAGAATCATCTATGACTTTTTTGATACTTTGTTAACATGCTAGATAACTATTATACTTAACTTGTGTTAGAGTGTGTGAAAGAATACATTACATGAAGACATCATTTGATATGGATGAGTTTTTCAATACAATTATAAAAGAGATGGAAAAGGTGAAAACTTATAAAAGAAATACAACAATGGAAGTTTTAGAAATATAGTTAATGACTATATATATTGATTTATATCATTTTTGTGTTTCTAATTTTACTCCAAGCATATTTATTCATGAGATCTTATCTTTTGAATAAGGATTTTATATGATTCACTATATGAAAACAAGTTGCTTCTACTTCATAAAATGCAATGTTGTAGTAACTTTTGCAATTTTTTCAAGCTATGAATTATAACTTCAAACTGCATAAGATTGTGGAATATAAAGTACAAAGAAGTTAATCATGAATACATTGAAGAATTTTGTGATCTTCAAATATCTATCATGGATATGAATGGAAGAGAAGACTTGGATATATTCAAACAACGTTTGAAAAATTGCATTGAGAAGTAGGTTATGATAAACAATTCATTCACAGTGAATGAGCAATAGCAATTACAAGTTTGTTAAGCAATTGCTCAACAAATTTGGGTAGCTTATGATTACCACATACCATGAAATATTAAGCACTTCTTGAGATCTATCTAACTCTACACCAGTGAAGTTTGGAAATTTTTGACGTGGAAAAAATTTGCATTAGCACGAAGATTGGTCTCATGATTTGAAGTTAAGATTTGACAACAAAGTATTTCAAATTTGCAAAAAGTTTATGCAAATAATGGATTAATTTGAGGAGAGTAAAAATTTATGACAATTATCATTGCTATATATATATAAGAATGATTCACGTTGCCAAGTTTTGTCAAATTTTACCAATATCACAAAGAGTATGGTCAATACAACGATAACTATTCAACAACATGGGGAGTACAAAGTATGAAAAAATTGAGTAAATAATTTTGGGAAACAAAAATTATAAGTTAACTTGACTTGCGGTTCTAAATTCCACAAAGTGAAGAAAAATTGAGATTAAATTAAAATAATGATTAGAAGTACATGAAAGAAACAAATCCAATTTATTGTTACATATGGTTTGATGTAAGTACACAAAGTGAGAGTTTTGATTGATCTTGAAACAATAAAGAAATTTGTGTCACAAAAATATTGTTATCAAGTCAGGTTTGATGTTGATGAAGAACTTAAGTGAAGAAGTTAAATTATGAACCGATCAAACGGAATTGATGAAAACAATAACACAAAATGTAGAATTATTCATAGGTAAACACAAAGAGAGCAATAAATGAAGAATAATTTTTGTAGCTCGATATGATGTAATTCTTGGAATGTCATGGATGTGATAATGTAATCCGGAGGTAGATTGAAAAATAAAAATGATAAAAAGTAATGGTTGGAAAATTTATGCAAATAAAATTAGGTCTCAGAATGAAATTTATCTCTCTTTGTGATGGATATATTGAACTCTTTTCTAAAAATTATGTATGTTTCCTTAGAAATGTTTTTTCCATATGATCTACTTTTAGTATCACCACCAAAGATACAATTAGATCACAAGATTGATACTTGAAAATGTATCAACTTGCAAAACTTGATATTGTTTGGCTCTAAACAAATTGAAAGAATATAAAGTTTAAGTGAAAAAAATGTTGAGCAATGAATTCATTCAACTAAATGTTTTAACCTATGAAATTTTGGTGCTATTTTTGAAGAAGAATGAATCCATGAGACTATACATCAACTATGGTGTGTTGAACTAGCAAACGATGAGAAACAAACATCCATACAGATTTTGTATGGATGATTTATTTCATCAATTTCAAGGAGTTAAGTATTTCAACAAGCTAGATTTGAGTTTTGATTACAATCAAAATTTGACATGAAGGTTAAGATAGCCACAAGATTGCTTTTTGTACTAAGTATGATCACTTTGAATATTTTGTAATGTTTTTTGTTATCACTTGTGCATCAGCTTTATACCTGGGATTAATGAACGATATCTTTGTTCTTATCTAGATAAATCTGTCATTGTTTTTCTAAATTATGTATTGGATTATAGCAAACATTTGAGTGATCATAAATTTCATTCATAATAAGTATTTCAAGTTTTGAGCAAAAATGAATCATATGTCAAAACTTCAAAATGTGAATTTGGTAAATCATAATAAGATTATTTGAATTATAGAGTGAAAACAACAAGAATCTAAATTTTGAATGAGAATATAGAAGCTATTCAAAAATGTACACCACTGAAGTATCAAACTCAATTGAAGAGTTTTTTAGATTTCACTAGATATTCTTATAGATTTGTGAAAGCATTTGCGTGTCTAGCTTGTTTTGTCTTCACATCCGTGTTGAAAAAATATAAAAAATGAAGATGTAAAACAATTTATCAGTGTGTTGGTAACAAAACACTGGAAACATTACTTGGATAATAAGTGGTTATTGGTGGAAATCAATTATAAACCCTTGGTTTATTTGGAAACTCAGAGATAACTATCTAAATAATAAATTGGATGAGGCAAAAGAAGTCAATGCTTCAATATGAAGATTGTATATGTGGAGTCCAATAAGGAATTTATGAATGTTATCACACGCATGTTTTGTTTAAATTATGTTACAAAAATGAAAATTGAAGCTCATTATTGAAACAAGATGACATAAGCCACAAAAGAGGA